TGATTTCAGTGAGAAAGAAAGAAAGAATGAAAGGAAGAAAGAAATATAGTGAGAAAGAAAGAAAGAAAGAAAAGATGCTGAGTAAGGTACGAGTCGCTAAGCTAATGCCTCATAAATAATGGACTGTTCCGTTTTGATCGGGAGGTACATTGAAGATGCTACTTGATTTCAATGAAAGAAAGAAAGAAAGAAAGAGAGTGAGAAAGAAAGAAAAGATGCTGAGTAAGGTACGAGTCGCTAAGCTAAAGTCTCATAAATAATAGACTGTTCCGTTTTGATCGGGAGGTACATTGAAGATGCTACTTGATTTCAATGAAAGAAAGAAAGAAAGAATCAATAAATCATTCAGGAAAGCCGTGAAATATTCCCGGGTCTTACTAGTAGTTAACATTTACCTATGCGAATGTCAGTTAAACTAAATGTCTCTATTTTCTGGATAGCGTAATATGTTTGTTCCTTAGATTTTAAATAACTTGTAAGATATACAAATGTATGTGTGTTGTTTTGTGTTGTCTGTGCACTTCACTTTTTCTCATAGATCACTGAGTGAATTTTGTTAATTATTGTCTGGAACAATTTTAATGGAATTACAAATAGGTAATTTTAAAAGGGAAAACATAATTGAGGTTAAATGAAAGTAAACCCACCCGGCAGAGTTGGAAGAACAAAAAAAAATCACTATAGAGAGAAATAGAAGAGAAAGGAAAGCAAACCTAATAACAATTTCTTTTTTTTAAAAAGTAGATTATTAAAGAAAAACTGATTTCAAAAACTAACTAAATTAAAATGAAAGAAAAACAAATTGGAAATAAATTAAGAAAAGGAAAATGAATTACGTATAAAATAAAAAAATACCAGGAAATGACAATGAATAAATAGACGAAAAAACATAACGGCAGATAATTTTATAAAATTTAAAAAAAAATAATAATAAAAGGAAAAATTACGTTTAAGAGGAGTGGTTAATATATAAACAGAAATAATTTAAAACGAGACATTGGTCGGAGTCGATGAGAAAAATAAAAGTGGAAAGAAAGGTGAGTAAAAAATAATAGGTCACGAAATTTACAAAGATATAGCAGTAGATACAGACGTAAAAAAATAAACAAAAAATATGAAAGAGAGTTAAAAGAAAAGACAAACAAAAATGAAAGATTTACATTCAAAAGCTAAGAGTCTAAAAGGAAAATTAGCAAATTAAAAAAAAAGAAAAAAGAAAAGGGAGCACTTTGGGAAATAAAAGGGAAAAAAGTATTAAGCGAAGATTAAAGTTAAAATGAAAATAACAATAAGAGAAGAAAACAATATGACATAAGAAATCTCTCAAAGGCAAAATAGCGATAATAACATTTAAGCCTGAAGGAAAATAACATTTAAAAAAAAGAAAGAAAAGAAATGTAAATGGATGGTAAAAGTAAATAAAACGACAAATTATTAACTTTTATTAAGTCTCATCCGGAAATATTATACATCAACTCAAAACATTTAAAAATGAGAAATACAAAATGAATAAATAAATTCCGCAATAAAATAACTCTTTTCTTTCTTGTTTATATATATATATATATATATATATATATTTATATATATATATATATATATATATATGAAGGTGTATATATATGTCTATATATAGATGTGTTATATATAAATGTATATAACACCATATATACCGACCGCCATATATATATATATATATATATATATATATATATATATATATATATATATATAACATTTATATATAGTCTTGGCGCTATATATATATAAGGTTTGTTCGTCTATATATAGGCATATATATATATAGGTTTATATATATATAGCTATATATAATATATCAGAGGTATATATATATGTATATATATACAGTGACGATATATAAACGAAAAGCAAAATATAAAATTTTATATATAAAACACATAAATATATATGCTTTATATATATATAAGAAAATATCCGCATATAGACATATTATATTTATTTTTACATATATATATATATGAAACACGCATATATATATATATATATATATATATATATATATATAAATATATAAGTATATATATATATATATATATATATATATAAGTATATACATATAGTAACTAGAACTTTGAAAAGTCTTCGTATATATAGGAGCTGTTGTATATATATATATATATATATTAGATATATATATGGCTATATATATATATAGCTAATATATATAGGTATATATATATATATATAGGATATATATATATAGTGTAAATATTTAAAAAAAATAGAGATATATATATATATTTCATATATATATATAGGTGTATATATATATATAGGATATATATACGAATATATATATAAGTGATATATATCAGTCAGTTATATGCCATGCGTATATATCCGAGTATATATGATCGCGTATTTATTAGATATATATATATAGTAGTATATATTTTTCCCGTATAGGTTAGGTATATAGGTATATTTATATATAGTCATATTATATATATAGGTAGAACCGGGTCTCTCCTATATTAACCCAAAAACTGGGAGAAGAAGAAGATTCATAACTTTCCCAAGGGTATAAGGTAATGGTTCGAGTCAGTATATATATATATGATAAACGCTAGGCGACCATAGGGCATATATATTCAGGGTATATATATATATATATATATATATATATATCTAGGTATATATATATATATATATATAGGTATATATATCTAGGTATATATATATATATATATATATATATATATAGGTATATATATATATATATATATATATATATATATATATATAGGTATATATATCTGTATATATATATATATATATATATACACGAAACATATATATATACACATATATACATGTATATATATATAGTGGCGTAAATGTAAAATATAAAATATATAGCCCACCTTCATCCATATACTTGCACATGAATATATATTTCTTTCTCAAGTTTTATAATGACAGGACTTAATGTTATATAGCAAAACTATTAAATATATATTAATGAATACACATAATATCCAATGTCATTAGCACTACTAGGAGTTTCATGCTGGGTTGCAATCTTTAAGAACTGGACACAGTCTAACCTGCAGATTGAAAGTCTGTATGAAACTCCGAGTCGTGGTATCGACGCTGCATATTATATGTATTTACTAATATATATATATATATATATATATATAGAGAGAGAGAGAGGGAGGGAGACAGAGATATAAATAGCTAGAGATAGATAGATAGATAGATAGATAGATAGTGTTTAAGGGAGACCGGTAATTTGTTTCTGAGCAAACGCGTCTGCTAGGAGAGTTAAACGATCACTGTTCAGTGGTGGTCATTACTCTGATGTTCTGCTTAGCTGGCCTCAGTTACTGTTTCTGGGGGCGACCGTATCAGCGGGCTTGATCAACTGTTTGAACAGGATCAATATGCTGAAACCCTCGCTCACGATGACCTGGGAATTCGTGCGGTCAAAACCATTGACGGGGTCTGATGACTTTCATCTACCGAACTTTGCAAATGTCTCGGCACTCTGGTGCAGCCTCCCCGCGCCATCGACGTTAAGAATTTAACGTCCTGCTTAATCGACCATACTGAGATTTACATCGTAGTCCCATTGTCGGATAGCGGACGTTCTAACCGCTCGACCACGCAAACTCAGAAATGGTAAAATTAAATGAAAATGCTGCTCGAGATCGAAAGAGTTCAACATGGATCAAAGACAGAATTCAGATTAGATGTACTATTAGAAGCGTTTAAACGATATTAATGACCATTTACCGCGAGATATTAAAAGAACAAATATTGATAAATATACAAAATGAATGATTGTCTATTGCCCAATGAAGAGCAAGAGCAATTGGTAAAAAATGGCGTTCAATAAACAGTTATAGACCAGTCATATTCGTCCACTATTTACATTGTTCGGACTATAACAGCAAAAATTGCAATATGAGCACTGGTAAAAATATGTTTGCTGAAGACATTAGCCTTATAATACCCAGAAATTCAAACACAGATGTCCGCAAGGACAGTGGATAAAAGCGTTAGTTAGATCCAGTGACAGGTACCAAAGAGTTGAGAGTTCAATACCTGGCTAAGGCGGTGGAGAACTTGGAGAGGGGAATTAACAGGAGATAACTGATAACTGACATCCATCAAACATGGCACCTGGAACTAGAACAGTCTACCTCAGCGAGCGAAATAAAGGGTTCAGTTCGACATTCCACCCACCGGAAAAAGGAGAGTCCAACGGCCTAAAGGTTGTGATAAATATCGCAACATAGATGAGTTTGATAGTCCGAACAATGTAAATCGTGTCTCATCTCAGAAATATAGTCAGATACAGTCCTAGTTGTATTGAAATATTTGGGGGCAATAACGACTTTTACCCTGCAGTTAATACCCAACAACTTTTGCTGATGTTGATATTGATCTTTTCAATGATATATATATATATATATATATATATATATATATATGGTTTCACCTAAGCGGATCGCCAGGGATCGTCTGGTCAGCCTTCTCTGACGATCCGCTTAGGTGAAAACATGGTAGGTTTGTCTGGCTCTCTAGGTTTAACTAGGTTTGCTCTACTTACCGTATTGAGCATTTTATTTAGTTATTTTGCTTACCTGTATCCGTTTTTTTTTTCTTTGGGCCTTGGACTTGCATACTAGACGATTATTTTCGGCTAACGTACATGTTCTTGCTTCTTGCTTTTTTTATACCTTTTTTTCCCTTTGGTTTTGGTTTGATTATTAGCAAATCAAGACACCGAATGTTATCCGGACGAGTATAATTTCTTATATTTATAAGATTACTACTACTATTAATAATAAATATATATATATATATATATATATATATATATATATATATATATATATATATATATATAAACACATATTATATATACACATATTATCTTTTTATCTTCTTAGCTACTTCAGATTTGACAACTTTTTAAAATGTTGTGGTTCTTCAGGTTGTAGGAAACCATGGTCCCGTTCAAATACCTGTTCTCACATTTCTGGGTATTTTCATGATATATTTATAAGTCGGGTGGTTTTCCTGAGTCTTTTCTGCAGTTTCAATTTCAAATCACGCAGATGTAATTCTCGTTTGATCACCGAATTTAAATAGTACCGTGCCATGTTAATACTTAGACGGGGTCTGCTTGTGTACATTCTGGACATTGTAAGCAAACTCTTATAATCAGAGATAGGTTTGGGGTTTAAATAACGCACAAAGGTTTGATTAACCGTAAACAAGCAATTCAATCTGAGTCGTTCTTCCTTTATACAGACTTGGCGACACTAGTCTACTATACTGTTTAACCCACGTGGGATGGAGAAGAGAGGTTTTAATTGTTACATATGTTTCAGATTATCCACGTTCACTGTAAGCATTTCGATTCGTTAGTTTAGTTACTGCAGCCGAGTTGACATTTCTAGAGGAAGTCGATTTCATGCCTTTTGTGGACATATTTGCGAAATGAGTGTAAGGGCAGTAGTAAGATCTTGAACTTGCTTCGGCAGATCAAACTTTTCACCGATAAACTTTATGCTAACTTCATATAAATCTTTTAAATTAACTACGTTTTTTTTTCTTTTTTTTATTGGCACATCAATACCTTATGTGTCATTTAATGCCGAAATTTAAATTTTTGGGAACATTAGTAATTTCCTTTAGAAAAATGTATTGCTGGTAATTTTTTTCTTTTTTCTATGAAGATATATTACTGATATTTTTTTCTATATAAATATATATTTATAATCCAATAATGTTTGGATCCCAGTTTAAGGGTTAACTATTTACCTATAGCTAGGAGACTAATAGGTGCTACCACCTCGGCTCGGGTGTACCAAGGAACTAGCAATTAAGATAAAATTAAATTAAAGTAACCTAGCAATTAAGAGGTGGTTGCATGCTCCTCAAAACCTCCTGATCCGAGGCCTTGCTGCCAAATGTAGTTTACCATCATACCCAGGATGATAACTTTGTTTCAATTATTGACCAAATCTCGCTGTATTAGACCTCCCATTGATATTTAAACTCTAAACAATTTTATATTACTCTCTCTCACACACACACACACACACACAAACACACACACACACACACACACACACACACACACACACTCTCTCTTTCTCTTATATATGTGATTTCTCCTTTCTTTTCATATTTTTCTGCCTCATCCTCTCCAGTTTTTTTTCTTCACGCTGTTTCTTGTTAATTACCCAACGCTTTCTTATTTTTTCAACGTCTCATTCAATAAGCTAAGCCGTTCATCTCAGGTCGCGTGACTTCCTCTGAGGTTTGGTGAGAAAGGAAACTATTTTCGACAAACTTTTAAGTCAATATATTGGCTGACAGAAAAAGGTTGGTTAAGATTATGAAGCCAAAAATTTTTAAAAAAATTGTTTTTTTCGAAATTGCTATTATGGAACAAGTTATTTGTTATACTCCAGCAATTTTGTAGTTTTTCGTTGACCTTCTAATTCCATCCTCTCAACAAAGAAGTTCGCTATCTGCCCTTAACATTTCTCCAGGGGGACTTTTTTATGATGACATTTTAGTAAAGAGCAGTAATACCAAGACATAGTAACAAATTTTAATTTGTTCCGTAAACAAATATTATCTAAAATCATTTTGATAGAATTATATCACATATGCTGTTGACGTCTGGGTTCCTCGACGCAGTGTAATGGTTCGAACGCTTGTCTTCCTTGATCAATTACGACTGAGTAGTGAGTTCCATCTTCACTGGGTGCCCCATACTCTCGGCTTCGTGCCACATCTAAACTGTGCTTATAATATCACTATCCTGTTGACGCCCTTTTCCATATATTATGAGACATTTTTTTCATTCGTATTTTCTTGATTTCAGTTGAAAATTACCTTACCAATTTTCCAACATATATAAATTTAATGTTTACTTTCCAAAATGAGATATAATATTAGTGTTAATAATGTTCATTTTCCAAAATGAGATATGATATTAGTGTTATTAATGTTCATTTTCCAACATGAGATATAATATTAGTGTTATTAATGTTCACTTTCCAAAATGAGATATAATATTAGTATTATTAATGTTCCCTTTACAAAATGAGAGTTTTTAATATTAGTTTCAATCAGGATAACGAATCGCCTTAACCCCTTAAATAATAGGGGCAGTATATTTATTGCAGCCCTAGAAACTGGAGTGTTACATGGACAAGACAGACTGACAGTACCCGACACTCTCCAGGCTTGTTTGAATTCAGAGTTTTCCTTCTCTTCGACTGGTTGCCAACCAAGGCTATAGGGCCCATTCTATCCTGATAATTACCAAAAGAAATGGGGAAGAGATGTATATCTAACTTTGCCAAGGGTATCATAATTTAGATATGTGGAAACAAAGAATACATCAATCTAAATAAGTAGGCGGCGATGCCTCCCTGAGGGAAGTGGAAAGATCCATCGAACTGGGTGGTGGGTAGGTAGCAAGAGGGTGGCGGTGACATATCTAAAACACACATCATGTCCACATTGTATCTTGAGTTCACTTTCCAGTGTATCTCATTTACATAACAATTGTTATGAGAAGTACTAAGATACTCAATCGACATGCATTACTAAAACCAAGACAGTTCAGTTAAAGGTCGATTATAACTTGGAGGTGGGTAAGGTTGTGTTTTGGTTTGACGGGGGGCGGGGTCGAAAACCTAAGAACGTTTGGAAATAACTTATCTAAATAAGGATGGGCGTCGTAGCGTAATGAGTATCGGCTTACAATGCGCTATTGAAGAGACGAGATTGAATTTCAAACGGGTTTGTTATAACGCACAAATACCATTAGGAAATGAGTGAATACATCTATTCTCTCCCCCAGCTACGGGTTGAATAGCAGGGCAGACTGGAATCTATAGTGTTGGCTGATGACCACATTACCGCAGAAAGAAACAGCAACATACTATGGAAATAGTATACTGCCTAGTCAGTCATGAAATGAAGTAACCATGATAATATTTTTTGTACAAATGTACAAATAGGGCACAAGACCAAAAAGGGGAAAAGAGGAAAAGGAAGGTCTTCTTCTGTCTTATTATTAAACTTTGCTAGCCGCAAACACTGACCCAAACATTCCTTTCACCAAAAGAGCTCATTTTTACTTACCATTCTTACCTCATATACCATAATGCCTCAGAAACTCTATGAAGTCCTAACTAGTCCCAATATATACAATTCATCATCTTTGGGGAGAGGAGAATAAACGAAATAGACATGATCCCTCAAGTCTGTATCACTAATCTGACTTATTAGCGGATTTAAATTACCGCCAAGAGGTTATGGCTTTACTTTGAAACAATTCTTTTTGCTTTTTTATTAGACTAGTTTTTTTTTTTCAAAGACATGATTCTTCAGAACCTAGGTGATCTTGGTGTGATGCAGATTCCTCACAGTTTTAAATTCAATGTAGTCCGTTATTACAGAGTTTAGAACCAAAAACCAAACAGCCAAGTTAACATTAGTCAAAAAGTAAGTGGAGAGGAAGGAAGACATGGATTTATTCTTTTCCCAAGGTTATTAATGTGAAAGTCAACACAGCAAACTAGTTCCGAAATTGGATTCAGCCTACCGATACAAATTTCAGCGCACATTCAGCATCTTGGAAATGTTTATAGTAAATAGGATAATTAAAATATGTCATTTGTCATAAATTGTAATGGTTGGTGACCACATTACCGCAGAAAGAAATAGCAAACTACTGCGGGACTAATATACTATCTATCTATCTATCTATCTATCTATCTATCTATCTATCTATCTCAGACTGGTCAGTACCTATCTATCTATTTCAGACTGGACAGTGTTGATCTATTTATTTAAGACTGGTCAGTATCTATCTATCTATTTCAGACTGGTCAGTGTCTATCTATCTATCTATTTCGGATTGGTCAGTATCTATCTATCTATCTATCTATCTATCTCTCCATTTCTCTCTCTCTCTCTCTCTCTCTATATATATATATATATATATATATATATATATATATATATATACATATATATATCCCTCTATCTATACTATTTCAGACTGGTCAGTATCTATCTATCTATCTATCTATCTATTTCAGACTGGTCAGTATCTGTCTATCGATCTATTGTTTTATTTGCTTGGAGGGAAATGATAAAAAAGAAAGAAAAAAAAACAACATTATTTCGTGGGATATTTGTTCGCTTCTTCTTTTATGTACAACTCAAATATCAACACAATATATTCAAACGACTGTAATTGATTTTCTTCATTAGATCTCCATATTTTCACTGTTGTATGTATTGTGTAATGTCGATGATGCTAAAGAACATCGAACACGCTGGTCTCGGGCCATATGTGGATATTTAAATGATTTCGTGCAACCAATGACCAAGGCCGACTGGAATACACATCGCAAGCTTCCGGTTAAAAATGTTGTCACTGATTAAAATAAATTGAATTCCATTTCTGGTTTTTATTTCAAAGAATGCACTGGATGTGGAATTGCCGAATTTCGGCAGACAGAAAGTATCTATCTATCTATCTATCTATCTATCTATCTATCTATCTATCTATCTCTCTGTAAAATAGAATCAGAATGCTCTATGTCTGATTCTTCACAAGTATTCACCACCATAATTGATTTATATATGTAGCTAGTTTGGATTACAGGGTTTCACCAAAAGTATACTCCTTTTCAACTCCCAGTTTTTATTTTTTCCTTGATTTTTATTGCTTTTTCTCAAAGCCAATGCATTTATTTTAATTATATATTAACTTAAACCGTTAATCGTCTTTGTACGTCAATACATATTAGTATTTCATAATTTCAACACTTTTTTTTAAATTTTTTTTTTATTTTTTTTTTATTTTTTTTTATTTTTTTTTTTTTCGTTTTTTCCGTTTTTTAAATTTTTTATTTTTCCTCCTCCTCCCTCCTGAAAGGCATTTTGTCCCAGTGATGCTACTTATTTGATAATTTAGTAAGGAATCCTGATCCGAAATGTTAACAAAGTAAAAACTAGAAAATGGAAGATTGAATGTCTTTGACTAGATGCGAGGGTGTCTCGTCAGTATCCTAACGATGTTGTGACTGTATCTTTTTTGCTTGATATATTGTCTGAAAGTGGAATTGTTTTTTTCGCCATTCTATCTCCTCTTTTGAAATCTTATTGAAAGCATATCTCCCTAGCCCAGTACTTGGTGGGGGCCGAGGATTGGCCGATGATTCCTCCCCCCCCCAACCAGGTCGACGCTTGGACACAAGGTAAAGCCGTATATTCAGTCACCATCATCATGACGACGCAGGCAGTTACCCACTTGAGTCAGGACTCCACACTCGGAGCCGTTCTTGGCTGGTTTCTGGTTATTTTTTGGACTTTTGCGGACAACTCGACCTTTTTTTGTGTGATTTTACCTGTTACCCTTTGGAACTGCATTTTGTTTAAAGTTTGTTTATTTTATTTGTATTTTACGACCTTATTGTAAAAAACTTTTTGATTTTTTTTTTTCTACTCTCCATTTTTTTTCACCCTCCCCTTTAATTTTTTACTTTTATTCTGTTTATTCTAGTTTTCCTATTTTAATTTTTTACTCCCTTTAATTTTTTACTCGTTTTCCTTTTTAATCTAATTTGCTTTTTGAATTTCGTTTTTTTCTCCTGTAATTTCCGCAGTTTTTTCTTCTCATTTCTACCCCTTTTTTTCTTTTTATTCTAGTTTTTCGTGTTAATTGTCATTTTCTTTATTTTCGTCCTATTCGTTATTCTGTGTTTTGCTGTAATTTCTTATTAATTTATTTATTTAATTGTTTTCATCCTTTAATTTTTTTTACGTTTTTTGCTTGTAATCGTTTTAATCTATTTATTTTCTTTTGTTTATTGTTCGACTCGCTTAGGGTCGGCTATTTTTATTTTTTTGTCTAGCTTCGTCTGTCTTCGTTACGTATTTTTTTTGTTTATTGACGTCGGCCATTTTTGTAACTAGCTTTGTGTTATTGTTTCGTAATTTTTTGTTGACGTCGGCCATTTTGATTTTATTTTAGCTTCGGCTTTTGTCGAAGTTTTTTTATGTTTTTTTATTGTCTAACGTTTTTATTTTTATTGTTTGTCTTTTATTGTTTCGCCTTTAGGCGATATTTGTTTACGTTTAAGAACCGTGTTTATTCCCTTTAATGTAATTGTTTTTTTTGGTGTGCATAATTATTTTGTTGAGTTTGTTTAGTTAATTTATTTCTTTTGCTCTCGCCCATAAATTTATTTCCCCACCCTCCCCTTCCCCCTCCCCCTTCGCTGTTTAAAAAAAATGGATAAGAAGGATAAAAAAAGTGCCTTCATTCTTAATTGTTAAAAGAAGCCTAAAATTGCTTCTTTCAAAAGAAATATGAGGAAACACCTCTTAATCCCAAAAAAGACCCCCGGACAAAATAATATGGAGGAATACCCGACCTGCCCAGAGTTCCTACAAATGTGGAAATTGTAGACACTTTTAAGAAAAGCCTCCGAAAATATGGAGGCTGAAAAGAGCAATAACCAAGAAAAAGGACAACGCATCTACGAATGCAGAGGCCGGGGAATCGCCCTCTTGTTGGTCGTCCCCACCGAAATGTATCATCAATCTTGCGGAGTTCTTGGAGCGTGCTAAGAGTTACGCTCACCTTGTCGTAGAAGGTGGACTCTTAGAAGACCCCCAGGAATTGAAGAAGATTGAGAAACGAATTATGTCAGTTTTCGTCGTCGACAAGCGTACGCGCAAAATTTGTCGCTCGACGAAAACATAGTGTTAAAATCACTAGAGTCCTTGGGGTTTAAGCCCCAAGAATAGTTAAGGGCGCAAAGTTTTTCATGGGGGACGTACTGTTACCCACAGCAGAAGATTGCGTAGCTGCGGCGAGCCGGGAGCTAATCACAAAGACCTTATCCTGCGCACGGAGTACGAAGGCCGCAGAAGGACCAGGGTAACAGTATGAGGTCCCTCCTCAGGTTATCGGTGAGCATCTCGCGGCTTACTTTATCCAGTACGGCGAAATTCTGGGCGCCTCATGTGATAGCCTGAGCGGGGGTTGGAGCTTTGACATCATGTTGGATGAGAAAGCCTTCCGCTCCATCCCCAACTGTCTGGATGTTGGAGGCTTGAAATTGCCAGTCATAGTAACAGGCCGAAGACCGGTATGCTGATGTGTGGAGGACTGGTCATCTCTCCTCCTCCTGCCCAGAGAAGAAGGCCTCTGGTGGTCAAGCCCAGTTAACCAAGATCCCCTCTGACCGCGTCTGTAACTTCCGCCTCGCCTGTAATGGGCGTACCAGCTTCCGGGACCGGGTCGGTTAAACCACCGGTTGAGATTACATCAAAGACCTCATTCCCCAAAGAGCCTTCGCCCGCTGCTAGTGCAGTTGTGGAGAAGGGGAGGGGAATGGCTGGTGGCTGGTAAGGCCAGAGGAAGATCCGGACAGCGGGCCCTCAGTCTCCTGATGCCCTGAGGGCCAAAGACACGGACAGCCCCACCCATCTGGCAACGTCAAGGGCGATGCTCCGGCCTCTCTACAAGAGCAATGCAAAAAATTCGACCCGGATCCCTGGTTCGAAAAAATTTGAAAAAATTAAAGAGCTGAAAAGAAAGTTGGACAGCAAAGCTAAAACCAACTCAAATCCCACTCCTTCCTCGTCCTCTGCCCCGTCCACATCTTCATCCAAAAACCCCCACCTTCCCTCAATCTTCACCAACAAAAGCCCGTCCTCTCAGTAGAGATCCCAGCCCATATCAACATAGATCGTTTCACACCCCTGCTTCACACTCCTAGCCCTTCTCCTGTTAAAACCCCTCGCCACACTCCTAGCCCTTCCCCGTCAAAAAGAAATCTGAAATGCCTCCTCCCCCTCCAAGCGAACGAAGCCCCTCAAACAGGAAAAGAAAAAAAAAAGGAGAAAAAAATTCTTCTTCAACTCAGGGAGAGGACCTCTGTAGAATTTCTTCTGAGCAAGCAGAGAGAGCCTGAGATTACGGAAACCGAATTAAGGAGCTAAAGTACCTGCTTTCAATTAGGCAGTATGCCGATAAAGATGTGGAAGTACCCTATCATTTTCCACAAGCTCAAAGAGTTTTAACAGTGGTGGGACTGAAGTGGGGCCAAGCCAATTTGGGCAATGATCGAGGAGGCGATTGCTTTTTTAAAATGGCCTTGCCCATTGCCATCACTATAATGAACAGTTGAATCAGCTATCTAAACTTTGTGCAGGAGGGTCCCGTTTTAGTTCACCCATCCCTGTATAGAGCTTTGAAATTAACTTTCCCCTGGGATATCGGTGGAATCTCCCAAGACGGTACCATCAAAACTGAAATGGGCCATGGGTCTATGGGAGAGGCTGTCGGTATCCTTACCCCGGCAATGTTTAAAGCAGGTAAACAACCCTAATCGGACTTCTCAATGGCTCTCTGGTTAGCTACGTTAAATGTGCAGGGGCCTGAGGTCCGAGTCTCTCGCAGGGCGAGGCTCTCTCGTGACCTTCAGCGCCCTCGGGGTGAATGTTTGTTGTGTGCAAGAGACCCGGTTTTCTTCTCATGACCGTGGGGATATACTGTCTAGGGGGTTCGCCCTTTATTCAGCATGTTTTGATGGTCGTTCGAGGGGCGTCTCTTGGCTAGTGAGCAGGTCTTTGAAGGCTGCTTTGTACCCCCTTGTCTTCGCAGATCCGGCGGGCAGGCTTTGTGTGCTGGATGTTACTATAAAGGATAAGGCTTTACGTCTCATTGGGGTTTATGCGCCCAATAGTCATACTGAGCGGCCTGCTTTGTTTCGGCAGATCGAGCTGTTTTGACGACTTCTCGTCGGGTAGTCTTAGCGGGGATTGGAATGCCGTCCTTGACCCTGATATAGATCGTATTGGTAAAAACCGGGTACTAACAATCCTGATGTGAAGGCATTTCGGGGCTTTATCGGCAAGTTTGATCTTGTCGATAAGTACCGGAATGAGCACCCCCAGGTGGTAGCATGGACTTGGACAACTAGTGGCGACTCGGATCCTGGCTCGCTTGCGAGCTACCTGGACCGAGTGTTAGTTAGGAGAGTCGATGTAGGGCTCTTAGAGTGTCCAAGTTTCCACTATATAGTTTATACGGATCATAGGCTTGTCCGGGTCCGTGTAAACTTAGATAAGCCTAAGGTTAGGATGGCTGGTTACTGGAAATTTAACTGTTCATTATTTGGTGAGCAGGATTTCCGGACCAGCTGCTACTAATGATTCAGAGGGAATTGACGGGGCGGTTGTGGGAAACGCCTGGTGGGGAAAAATTAAAATCTAAGATTAGAACGTTTGCTGCCGATTTTAGTCGTCGACTCAATCTAGATAGATTAGCGGCGCAAACGGCGTTAGAAGATAAAGTTGATCGGGCCGTGAAATCCCGTGTTAGTGGGGGGACATAGTCTTAGCTAAGGCAGAGTTGGCCTCCTTGCTTATCAAGAAGGATCAAGCTCTGGTAGTTAGGGCTAGGCTAAAAGAATGTCTTCTGAGGCGACGAATATGGCCGCTGAATTGCGTGCAGAGGAGAATAGAACGCGGCTAAGCGACATATAGCGTGCGTCACATTGCCGGATAAGCGGACCGTGACTACAAGCACGGGCATATGC